ACAAAGTGAACTGAGAGTAAATCCACCCTAGCACAAGTCATGTTTCACAAAGTTAATCATCTGGAAGTGACACCACTCCTCATATAACTTGTTGTTTTTGTGCAACTTGTGGTTCCAAGACAGCAACAACATCTGGATGAATTTCTGCTCTAGTCTTGAATCATGTGACACTACAGCACATTAAAATCTTAAATGCCATCATTATTTCATAGTAATAAAACATGTAATGACATGTAATTCATAGTCAGTGATATATATCCACATCGTTCAGAGGAGATGGCAAGAGCTTCTCTTGATCACACACAGAGTGTAAATATTTCTTTTGTAAGTCTGGATTTCTTTCTGTTTCTTAGCCTTTCCTGTATCTCATTCATTTTAGCTACCCTTGTGGCACAGCTAAATTGTGCTACAAGCAGAAGAAGGTTCACTTTACCACCTTATAAGACAATGTTTCAACTTCTTGAAAGGAAGAATACCTGTCAACGAGGAAGGCACTAAGTGTTTCTGTGAATAAAATCCCATCAACCCTCACTCTTCCTACACCAGCCCTACTCCATACAACACTATGTAGCAAAAAGCTCAAAGGGGAAATATTTCTAATGAATTATAACTGGTTATAATCAATTATAAGTATTTAGATTAGAGTATTAACTGTAGCAGAATCAATATTACAATTATTTAATCTGTTCGTCCACAGAGCAGACAATATAATAATTTATCAATTCTAGGAAAGATTATCTTCCTGGCCAAGAAAGAATATCTTTCCTACTTTACACAGTACTAGCAGTAACTTGACTCTGAATTGTGAGCAGAAAACACAGAGACAATCAATCGTGACGATAAGGGATTCAATAAATGAAAACTACTGGTAACATACAACTAAACTAAGCAACACACACACACACACATATATACAAAAAGAAGGAAAGAGAGAGAGGAAAAAAAGCAAAAGAATGGCAGTATTTAACATCTATTAAGCCAAATATAAACACAAAATTAAGCCAACGTGTGATAAAAGAGTATGGTGCAAGTTATGGTGCCAACTATGAGTGGTATGTTTTGGGGAAAATGTAGAAATTGTGTGTACTGTGTAGCGTCTGGACCACTCCAACACACAATATATATTTTG